TTTTTTTTGTATAATGTCTGTTTTTGTTAATGTTACATTGATGGCTTAATTTAGGCCTAATCTGTAATTGTATTATAATGTTTCATGTGTAATGTTTATTGTTATTACTATTGTAATATTTAATGATTACATATAAATAACAATTTCCTTACATTTAAATAGTTATTCCAAATTACCTTCAATGCTTTCCGCTTGGATACGAAAGCTTTAGTTTCTGCGAATTGTAAACTCGATCTTTTGACATCTGAAAACTTGATATTTCATCCATTTTAATTTATTATTATTTGTTTTTAAAGAATAGAGCCTCATATCCTGTTTTCTATACACTACCGGTCAAACGTTTGGAATAATTATGTTGTTTTTTTTAGTGTTTTTGAAAAGGTCTCTCTCTTTTAATGCATTTATTTGATTAAAAATACAACAATGATATTGTAATAATATATTAATGTTTTTACTGTATTGTAATCAACTAAATGCAGCCTTGATCAGCATAAACAGACTTCTTAATTATTCCAAACTTGTATGTGTTGCAGTAATTTCACCGAGTCTAGCATGACTCCACCTTTACTCACTGAATACTCGCTTCTTATGCTCCGGTCTGCTGTTTTCTCCAGGGTAAGGCGCGTTTACGCAAAAGCGGCCGCCACACGCCCTCGCCGCCCTTAAGCCCTCGAGCAGCAGAGGGGGCGGAGCCGGGCGAGGAGGGGGCGGAGCCTGCGCTGAGTGAGCAGCAGCAAGCAGCCATGCAGCAGGAGGAGAAAGTGTTGTCTCAGCAGATAGAAAACCTGCAGAAAGAGAAGTTAGTAAAGACCTTTTGAGCCATGCTTATTGTTTATTTCCTTGATTTCTTACTGTCGTTATCGCTTCACTTTAGGGAAGAACTGACCTATGAGATGCTGGCTCTGGAGCCCAGAGCGTCCGATGACGAGATGCTGGAGTCGGAAGCATCTATCGGAACAGCAGACAGCTCAGAAAACCTCATGGCGTCGGAAGGCGCCGCGTCCGATCAGTGGGGTGATGACGCTAGTTTGCTAGAAGTAGTTTTAAAGAGAGAGTTCGCCCCGGAAATGAAAATCCTCGTCCCTCATGTCATTCCACACCCATAAGACTTTGGTTAATCTTCAAATTAAGACATTTTTATGAAACCTGAGAGGCCTCCATCCCTCCATCCAAAGTCCAGGTAACCAAAACTTCAAAGATCCAAAAAGGTTAAAAAAAAATTAAAAAAAAGGAGGTGCCATAGTGCCATAGAATGGAAAACTGTATTTACCTTGGCATAGTTGAATAATAACAGTTCTGTGCATGGAAATGACATGCCGTGAGCCTCAAACACCATTGTTTTCTCCTTCTTATGTAAGCAAAGGACCACTTAAAAACAAGCGAATCAGAACATAACGCCGACTGTGATGTTACAGTCGGGATCACTAATAGTTACGCCCCCAACATTTGCATAAACCCGCCCATGTTCTACGCCAGCCGCCAGCCGAATCATCAGAAGTTCTGCAGGTGTTGAAGAAACAAGTGAAGATGGCAGATCATGGAAATAAATGTAATGTTCCAGGCTGTGCAGGGATGGGTTGGTGTCTGTATTCAGAAAGGCACGGAAAACAAATAACGCGCGTTCTAATAAAATAATGCGAGCCACTAAAGAGACATGGTTAGCCGCTTGCTAGCGGTAGCCTGTTACATTACAGTACATAAGATTTCACTTACCACATAAACAGAGTAAGGAGAGATGACTGAGGACGATGGCGAATGATTTACAGATGCTGAGCACCGCTGACAAGCATCTGATCTTGTTAAACGTGTGGTAAGTACTGCCGCTGTAGTTTACACGGAGCACGTGCGATCGCAAAACTCAAACGTGAAAGCGATCGTGCATTCAAAAGCAATTACCCAACGACATAACTGCGATCAGTCTTATGCACACCCCTTCAAGTAAAGTGTTACCGTAAATGGACATGTAAAACCGTTTCTGGAGATTTTTTGCCCTTACCTAAACCACGTACCTTCTACGTAGATATCAGAGAACAATTTAAAATATTGTATCAATGCATTCTATGGCACCTTTAAAACGAATTCATATGAATCAAGTGGTTTAAAACAAGTCTTGTGAAGAGATTCGATCACTTTACAGACCTTAGTCAGGTAAGCCGTATTGACTTTAGGATGAAAATTAAGATGTGAGGGATACATTTGCAATTTACTCACTGTGTAAAGCCCCTACATTGTCATTTTCACAACTTTCAAAACTGTTTTATTTAGAGTTTTTAGTCCAGACTTGCGTTAAACCTCTCTATTCATACGGAACCTCTCAGGTTTCATTACAAATATCTTCATTTGTGTTTCGACGAACCAAAGTCTTGTGGGTTTGGAACAACATGAGTGTGAGCAAATGACGACGCGATTTTCATACGTGCGTGAACTAACCCTTTTAAGCATCGCACATGTTTTGAAGTGTCAAATGTCTCCTCTGTAGACAAAAGCCCCGGCGCCGTGTCGGCAGCACGCTGGAGGAAGTGCGAGTCCAAAAGCAGACGCGGTTTACAGCGTCAGCCTGAATCTCTGGACTCGGGGGACTCGGCCGTAGCCTCGCTGTCCTCGGTGTCGTCCACGCCTCACTATCGGGTTCGTTCGTCCTCTTCCGGGCCGCTGTTTTCCTCCAGCTCTCCCGGCGAGGACTTGCACATTCTCCCTGACCAGGAGGGCTCCGAACAGGCTTCCCTGAACACCCGATGTGCCTCCAGCTCCGAGAAAACCCGAGGGAACCGAAGCTGCTCGCCAAAGCCCCATGAGCCGGGCGAAGGCGTCGCCGGCGGCCGAAGACGAGAGCATGACTTGGGTTCTTCTCAGCCTTTGGTGCTGTATGGGAGTAATGAATTTATGGTGTGACGACAATGGTGTCCAACGTTAGCCGGAGCTGGTGAAGCAGGAACACCCAACGGATGTCTGAATAACATTTAAAGTGAAATAGAGAAGGCTTGGGAATCAACCTTCAATTGCTCGGTGATCAGAATTGTAAGGAAGGTACTGAATGGGGTTTTTACGAAATGTACGACCTACTGACTGTAACGGACCTGCTGGACTGGTCCTTTCTCACAGCAAGAATAGTTGAACGGGGAAAGAGCGATTTTTAATCAACTGAGCCAATGAGAAGTCAAGCGACTTCAACCGAATGCATGCCGTATTGCTACTATTTTGTTTTCACTCTATGATTAAAACCTTTGATAAAGTGCTAAATATGTAAAATAATATTATATATATCTCGAACGAATCATGTAAATAGCTGAAATCCCTGTGCTGCCGAGTAACGTCGTCTTGTTGCAGATTGAAAACTAGAGCGTGTGTGTCTCTGTGTTGTTTCTTATGGGTGAGTGTGACAGAAACGCACACGATTTAGGTCTTATTTCGTCCCATTGTTTGCATAAAGCAAACGATCTTGGTTTGCTTTTGGATTTGAAATCTGACCCGGACATGTGCTTTAACCTATGTTTTATTTGCTTTTTTGGTTTCAGCAACACGTTTCCCCTTCAGATGAAAAAGCAAAAGGATGAATAGGGATGAGAAGTGAGATGTGTGCAACCAAATCAGGACTTGAAAAAATATTTTGTCCTTTTTTTTTTTTGGTTAATTGCTTATTTTGAAAGTTTATACATGCTGATATTTTATTGTGGATTTCAAGTATATGAATATTTTTGGTGTTCCACTGTGCCATCTGGAGTCACATGTTGTCCTTTGTTTAAAAATTAGTTTTAATTTAGGGCTAATTTATCACAAACATCCTCTAGCTGCGGATTGTTACCCTTTAAACTGTAGATTAACATGCACATTTATAGTTCATAGAAAACAAGGACACGTAACGGCAAAAGCTCAAAGCTTTTGTATGAGCTATATAGTATGTTTACGCAGTCAGCATTGCTGTTTATGTGCAGGGAATGTGTCTCCAGAAGCTGTTTACTCTTTTCTGCTGTTACAGATATCTATATCTATGTCATATCAGTCATAGCCTATTGCAAGAAACCATCTTCATGGTGCAATATCACAATAGACATTAAGCTATGTTCTGATGAGTATACTTGTGTACTATCCTAACCTTAAGTCCACTAATGCTCAAAAACCGGCGGTAAGAAGGAGACGGTTGTTTGGTGCGTCCTGCATAAGTGAATGTAATCACTGTAGCATGCCACACTATTGTCAAAGTTTCTCTTTTACAGCCGCTGTATTTAAGACCATGTCTGAGGCCGGAAACATAACTCTGTGCAAAAACACAAACCCCAATGCAGTCACGTACATATTTAACATTTATTAAGGTGTGGTCACATTAGCTCAATTTTGTGTGGAAAAAAAGGTTATCTATTGGAATGACTGGATTTCACACATGAAATTTCGCCGAGCAGCAGTAAATGTCAATGCACCTTTATACTATAGCTTCAAAACTCATTGCCTTATGGAAGCCCATTTCTGCCACGTAAGAAAAAAAAGTCGAAATTATGAAATTGTCGTAGTTATGACATACCGTTAAAATGATGACTTCAAAAGTAGAAATTCACACAAAAGTTGAAATTATGACTAAATGTTCAAGTTATGACAAACTGTATTAAGTCGTAATTATGAGATGTCAAAATTATGAGATTGTCGTAGTTATGACAAACAAACTCAAAATTATGACTTCGAAATTCACACAATAAAAGTTGACATTTTGACTAAAAGTTGAAATTATGACACTGTATTGTCAATTATGAGATGTCAAAATTATGACTTCAAAAGTTGAAATTATGACATACTGTATTAAGTCGTAATTATGAGGTCAAAATTATGAGATTGTCGTAGTTATGACGCACTAGGTTGTAATTATGACTTTAAAAGTTGAAATTGTCATACTGTACTGCAACACGTTTCCCCTTCAGATGAAAAAGCAAAAGGATGAATAGGGATGAGAAGTGAGATGTGTGCAACCAAATCAGGACTTGAAAAAATATTTTGTCCTTTTTTTTTTTTGGTTAATTGCTTATTTTGAAAGTTTATACATGCTGATATTTTATTGTGGATTTCAAGTATATGAATATTTTTGGTGTTCCACTGTGCCATCTGGAGTCACATGTTGTCCTTTGTTTAAAAATTAGTTTTAATTTAGGGCTAATTTATCACAAACATCCTCTAGCTGCGGATTGTTACCCTTTAAACTGTAGATTAACATGCACATTTATAGTTCATAGAAAACAAGGACACGTAACGGCAAAAGCTCAAAGCTTTTGTATGAGCTATATAGTATGTTTACGCAGTCAGCATTGCTGTTTATGTGCAGGGAATGTGTCTCCAGAAGCTGTTTACTCTTTTCTGCTGTTACAGATATCTATATCTATGTCATATCAGTCATAGCCTATTGCAAGAAACCATCTTCATGGTGCAATATCACAATAGACATTAAGCTATGTTCTGATGAGTATACTTGTGTACTATCCTAACCTTAAGTCCACTAATGCTCAAAAACCGGCGGTAAGAAGGAGACGGTTGTTTGGTGCGTCCTGCATAAGTGAATGTAATCACTGTAGCATGCCACACTATTGTCAAAGTTTCTCTTTTACAGCCGCTGTATTTAAGACCATGTCTGAGGCCGGAAACATAACTCTGTGCAAAAACACAAACCCCAATGCAGTCACGTACATATTTAACATTTATTAAGGTGTGGTCACATTAGCTCAATTTTGTGTGGAAAAAAAGGTTATCTATTGGAATGACTGGATTTCACACATGAAATTTCGCCGAGCAGCAGTAAATGTCAATGCACCTTTATACTATAGCTTCAAAACTCATTGCCTTATGGAAGCCCATTTCTGCCACGTAAGAAAAAAAAGTCGAAATTATGAAATTGTCGTAGTTATGACATACCGTTAAAATGATGACTTCAAAAGTAGAAATTCACACAAAAGTTGAAATTATGACTAAATGTTCAAGTTATGACAAACTGTATTAAGTCGTAATTATGAGATGTCAAAATTATGAGATTGTCGTAGTTATGACAAACAAACTCAAAATTATGACTTCGAAATTCACACAATAAAAGTTGACATTTTGACTAAAAGTTGAAATTGACTAAATGTTGAAATTATGACACTATTGTCATAATTATGAGATGTCAAAATTATGAGATTGTCATAGTTATGACAAAGTCAAAGTTATGACAGAAATTCACACAATAAAAGTTGACATTTTGACTAAAAGTTGAAATTATGACACTGTATTGTCAATTATGAGATGTCAAAATTATGACTTCAAAAGTAGAAATTCACACAAAAGTTGAAATTATGACATACTGTATTAAGTCGTAATTATGAGGTCAAAATTATGAGATTGTCGTAGTTATGACGCACTAGGTTGTAATTATGACTTTAAAAGTTGAAATTGTCATACTGTACTAAGTCATAATTATGAGATAAAAAGTCGAAACTGTGGCTTTAAAAGTTGGAATTATTACATACAAAGTTGAAACTGACATAAAAAGGCAAAATGAGATAAAAAGGCAATTTAGCATTTTAAAGTCATAATTTCTCAATTATGACTTTTTGTGTCATAATTTCGACTTGAATTTTAAAGTAATGATTACGGCTTAGTATGTCATAATTAAGATTTTTCAAGTTTTATAATTTTAACTTTTGGTTGAAAGCATGATTATTATTATTTATTTTCGGCAATGTGTTTCCATAATGGGGTGAGTTGATGTCAAATGTCTATTGTTAATCCGGATTTAGGTAACTAGCAATAAACGTAGCAAAAAGTAGTTGAGCTGAGAAGAAGAACTGACTGTGATGATGTTAATCAGCTGTAAGCGCGCTCCTCAGGGTTAAACACAAGGGATGCAGGCTAATATCTGGCATATGATGATTGTTTTGTCGAATGATCCTGCTCTGTGTGTTTTGATTTACTGACAGTCTCTAGATTTGTGCTTCGTGTTTGTGCTCTCGTGAGCGCAGTCGTAAACGGTGCAATTTGTGTAATATTTCTTTAATGTGCAAATGTAAGGCTGTAAAAAGAAAAATGAACATAATCATTGTCTTATTAAAAAAAGGTGAAGAAAATGAACCTGCTCAGGTTTTCACAGTCGAGAGAAAGAAGGCAGAAATATGCTTTCTATTAGTCTTTCCCTCAGTATTAACCATTTTATTCTAATAGTGTCTAAAGAGAAATATGGACGCATCTTGTTTTAATCAGGCTATTTTAAGTGCTTAAACGAATAGAATTAGGCTACAGTATTTTACAGACTTGCGATTCACAACCTGCATTTTCTGTAACTTTCATGTTATTTTCTGAGAAATATAATTAAACGATAAAAATATCAACTAAAGGTCACAACGATGTTTTTCACGATGTTCGTCACTGTGAAGTGGGCGTGTCCTGATTCGTTGCCTGTTGCTAGGCAGAAGTTCAAATATAAAACCTTGATTTAAATTATGACTCAAAATAATGTGTGCTTGCACAATGCAATTGTCAGATTATTTGGGGTTTATTATAATAATAAAGATGGTTTTACTGCAGTAAAATAATAATGGAACTCCAAGGCATTCCAAATCGTTTATTTTATAAAATAGTCATAACTTAATTTTAAACTAAAAGCATATTGTATCTGATCAGCAGCTTCTCATCGATCAATTCTTCTGAATGTGAAAAATGTCAAAGTTTTGAACGTTACCATGTCATTACTGTATTTACCCCCTTTTGATTAATTACAAAAATTATATTCGTTGAAATTTCTAATTACACGCAAAAACGGTGTAACTAATGATTAGGCAACTAAGCTTTTAGAAACATGAAAATTAAAATATCACATTTTCTAAATTATCACAAACGTATCTGAAGTTTTTTCATTGGAGTTATATTTTGCATAAAGTTCATGTACATGATGCGCTGTATGGAGAGTTATAACAATATTCAGCCACGGGACGGAAACGCCCGGAGAAACTCGGACATAATCCCGCTGACTCGGGAGTAACGGGATCTTGAATACGCCAACCTTCTGAAAGTCCGAACGAGAAGCGTTTTCTTCACGTCACTCATCCATTTCCACGTCTTCTGCCAGTTTCTGGACCATCTTGTGCTCCAGCTGTTTGGCGTGACCTGAAGAGAGCCGTCCGGCGTGAGAGCAGGGCATTCTGGGACAGGTTCAAGAGCCGCTGTGTTAGTGTGAGCTTTACCTGCGTGTGGAGCTCTGATGAGGTGAATGTTCTTCTGGACTTCAGTGATATCTGCTGCCTTCTCCAGCTCTTTGCCTTTCTTCAGCCTGAGCAAACACACAAACGCTCGTGTAAATGACAAAACCCACACACACTCACACTCACACACACACTCACACTCACACACTCACTCACACT